GGACTTACTCGAGGCCTCAAATCACGCATAACAACATTAAAACCACGAATCGCACCTTAAATCGAACTTAATGAATTTTGAATCTTTCAACTTCCAAAACTCATGCCGAACCTTATCAAATCAACTCAGAATGAATTCAAATTTTGCACACATGTCCCAAATGACATAACAAAGCTATTCCAATTCACTAAATCACAATCCGAACCCGATATCATCAAAGTCAACTCCCGGTAAAACTTATGATATTCCAAACCTTCAAATTTTCAACTTTCGCCAATTAGCGCCGAAACCTTCTAGAAATATCCAAATGCAAATCCGGGCATACGCCCGAGTCTAAAATCACCATTTGTACCTAACGGACCCATAAAAACTCCAATTCGAGGTCAAATACTAAAAAGTCAAACTCGGTCAACTCTTCCAACTTTAAAGCTTCAATCATGAAATTCATTCTTCCAAATCGATTTCGAATAACCTGAAAACCAAAATCGACGATTCACACCCGTCATAATACATCACACGATGCCTCTCAAGGCTTCAAATAGCTGAACGGGATACAAATGCACAAAATGCCCAGCTGGGTCGTTACAACTACAACTGATCAAAACCATACTGTTCTCTATACAAATATTCTGGTCCCAGATCTTTGTATTACCAAAGAAGATCCTAAAGAGGATAGAAGCTACATGTAGAATCTATCTCTGGATAGGTGGTTCATTAAGTTCAAGCAAGGCTCTACTATCATGGGAGACTGTTTACCCAAAACAGTTGGAGGGTTCAATATTCTAGATGTATATACTTGGAACAAGGCTGCCATCTGCAAACTATTATGGAATCTTAGCAAAAAAAAGATAGGTTGTGGGTCCAATGGTTGCATATGTACTATGGGAAGCAGCAACCAATCTGGAGCAAGGCACCCAAGCAAGCCTCATAGGTGGTCCAGAAAATCATAAAGGCAAGAAGCTACATTGAAGATGTGGGGATTAGCATGGATGATATGTTGCACTGGAAACACTTCTCTATCAAGAAGCGTTATTTACAAATGAAAGGTGACTTCCAAAAAGTATCATGGAGAAAACTAACATGTAACAACCTCAGATTACCCAAATAGATTTTTGTATTAAACTTGGCTATGCAGAACAGGATACTTACTAAAGATAGACTAATCGCTTGGGGAGTTACTGGCAATGCATGCTGTCCACTATGCAATGAGCTTGATGAGTCTACAAACCATTTGTTCTTCTCATGTGGGTATCTACTGAGTTATGGCAGAAGCTATTGGGATGGCAAGGCATCTACAGACATGCCCTGGATTGGCAGAATGAAATATTATGGGCAGAAGCAAATGCTAAGGGCAGAGCTGCAGGTGCTGAGATCTTTAGAATGACTAGGGCTGCTTGTGTATACCATATCTGGCAGGAGAGAAATATGAGAGTGTTTCAGGGGAAAAATTGACCAAACCATGTGTTGATAAGGCTAATCATTCAAGAAGATTACTAGAGGATCCAAGGAGACTAGACTCGCAAGGGCAATTGAAAAGCTAAACTTTTATCCTTAGATGTCATGATAGTCGTAAGTAGTAGACTGGTGTAGAGAATTGTGTAGTGGAATAGAAGGTAGCGATGGTGGGATTGGGGTTGTCCAATCTCTGTTTGCTTGTTTGTTTCTTTTAACACTGTATACATTGTTACTGGTAATAAAATAATTACTTACCAAAAAAAATATATATTCTTACTTTAACTTATCACTTGATCTTGGTAAATTAGAATAATTCTATATAAATATTCGATGGAGGCAAGTTTTTACTTTTTTGTTGCCCGCAGAACCTTCCCTACCATTTCCATTTGGCTATTTCCCTCTCCGTTTAGTTTCTCAAGTTGACTGAGACAATGAGTTGTTTTTATGTTTTGTTGTAATATAATACAGAGTCCGGTTTATTTAGTTTCATGATTTCTGATATTGAATCATATTATTATATTGTTTAGGCACCAAATATTTAATTCTACATGACGATGTTATGGTCCATTGCAAGGTATGAGACTTGAGTTTCATATCGGTATTGAATGTGCCGATGCTTTTGGGGTGTAGTTCTTCCTGGGTTATATAAATGGTATCAGAGCCACTGATCACCCTCCATGTCCATCGTGCCATGGATTGTGACACCGGTATTGCGTGTTCGCCGGAGCTAGTAGGTTTAGCACACAACCGTCTAGAACGACAGATGTAAAGCGTGATGGTTTGTTATGGTCCATTGTAAGATATGAGACTTGATCCCACATCGATATTGGAATATGCTAATATGGGATTTATATAGCCTTAACTCTTTCATCTCAATAGCTAACTTTTAGGGTGTAGTTTGTATCACGCATGTACAAAGAGTGTTAAATGTCTCATATTCATGATTGAGATTTGAGGGAATAAATTACTGTCTTCTTATATAGTTCTAGAAATGCTCATTTTGTAACCTAACTTTTGAGCTTGAATTAGTTCAATATCCATTTTCTTAACACTCCCTATCAAACTTAATAATCTTTGTTACTAGCAAAGTTGTTTGGACCGAATATATAGAAAGATTCTTTTATGAAGGATGACGTTGAGACGGAACTAGGGGTGTGCATTCGAATCGGTTTATCGATAAATCGAATCGATTATTTGTTATCGAAATCGAAATCGAAAAAATCGAAACCTTATTGAAACGATAACGATAAGCATATGTACAAATCGATAATCGATAAGTAATTATCGATAAGGGTCAAAATCGAATCGATAAATCGAATGCACACCCCTAGACTGTAGACACTTGTTAAATGAGTAATTACCTATTTGTATAGATTAATATAACATACAGAATGTATATATATTCCGCTACTATTTTAAAAGCGGCTATACAATATTATTTTCCCTAATCTATACCCTTTCCTTTACCCTAAGTCTCTTACCTTATTATTTCCTCTACCACATTTAAGGAATGATCATATTTAAAGATCAAGGGAATGAAGTTCAAATTAATGGAAAACAGAATTAACCGTGATGATGTGTTTTGTTTTGTTTTATTTTTTTATACTGTTGGAGTGTTGGTGGCATACATTTGATCCCTTACTTTAGTTTTGTTGCATGTGCTTGTTGACATAATTTTTATATTATAAATGGTGTTCGTCTTATTTTAGCTTCTTTTTGTCCATATTAGTTAGGCGCGTTTATAGCGATATACTTTCCATGGAATCCCGCAAATTTTCTTATTGGTGTAATCGATAACCGAATCGATAAACCCCCAAAATCGATAAATCAAAATAAAAAAAACAGAAACCTTATTAAAACGATAACGATAAGCATATGTACAAATCCATAATCGATAAGTAATTAAGGGTCAAAACCAAATTGTTAGATCGAATGCAAACCCCTAGACGGAGCTAATAAAATATTTGTACACCATCAGTTGTAAGTTTCTATCATTTTCCCTTCTTTTTATAAAAAATTTCCATCATTTCACCGAACATGTACGTTTTAACTTTTAACCTTCCTCTCTTTTTCCGAGCAATAATTTAGTGTAACCAACTTTTGTTCATAAGGAAACAAACAACGAAGCAAACGAGTACTCTTTTTTCATAATTTACTAAAGTAATTAATTAATAGAAATGGACTTGTGAGATTCAAGACTATTTTTATAATCTTCTTTTGAAAATGCCATCCCACTAAAAACACCAACTTCCATTTATTTATTAGGAAACAAACAAAAACCTTAAATATTTCTTTAGCAATTATCGGCGCTTCATGTGCAAGGTTTGTTGACATCTGACATATATCACCCCCAAAGTCTACTATTGACCCTAATTACCCCCAAAATTATGATAATTATGAGAAACAAAACTCTGTATGAAATTCGAAAACAATTGATTAATACAGAAAAAAATTGAATATAATACAAAATTAAGTGATAAGCCGGTGTTGCAAATTTATTGAATTAACCATGCAACATTTTGAAGAATTTATTGAAGCTTATAAAGTCTTATGGTTATTTCTTTAATAATATCCTTCTAAACTTTGCATATTTTGGGCAAAATCTTACAGAAACTTTTCCGAATAATGCAATTTTATAGAAAAATATCCTCCCTAAAATTCTTTTCTTAAGATCTGATATTAACTCACCCTTGTATGTTGGGTTTAAAATAATTCACTAAGTAAAAGGAAAACATAAGCACTTAGAGATGGAAGATAATGTATATAACAAAAAGAATATAAACTCAAATTTATTTTTACTTGAATGTACAATGGGATGATTGATTCCATACAAATAAATAAGCCTGTTAAAACAAAAGAATCATCACCCACCCAAATATGAATTGACTCACTCTAATAAAAAATGAAAAAAAAAAAAAGACCACCACAATGTACCAAACAAATAAATGACAATAAGAATAAGAACAAAGTAAATACACAAAATAAAAGACAAAAAAGAAAAAGAAGAGATAAGTACTACTCAACCCCAACAAAGGTACAAAACAAATCTCGGTCCGTCAAAACACGTGTATGGACACGTGGCAGCTCTACATGAAAGCAGCAGCAATGAGTACGCCAGCAAATGCAGCACCGCCAATGACGGCCTTGTTAGCGGCGTTTGGTGACGGTGTGTTGTCGGCGGAGGGCTGTTCCGCCGGTGAAGCACCGGGTCCACCGGCAGGAGTAGGCGGGGGAGGAGAACCGGCGAGCCCACCGACCGGAGCTGGTGATGGGGAAGTTGTAGAAGCAAATGGTGATGGAGTTGGTGAAGTTGTAGGTGCCGGAGATGGGGTTGCTATTGGCGGAGACACTGCTGGACCCGGACCTATGAGGTGACGGTCTAGGAGGGTCCGTAGAAAAATATGGGACTCGGGCGTATTCCCGAAATCGAAATCCGAGGTCCCGAGCCCGAGAAATAAATTTTTGTGTGAAATCGTTTTCCTGGAATTTATATGAAATTTTGAAATGAAAATTTATCAGAAGACTATGGTATCAGGCTCGTATTT